TTCATTCTTCTTTGCTCTTGACGAGGAGAGACCCATCATTGCATCTAGATGGCAGCTTGCTAGCTTTTAAGATCCCAGTCGCTACTCGCCAAAGTAGGAGATGGAACAATGTTTTGTATAATATGTTATGCCAATTGAGCTTGATGTCCCCTGCGACTATGGTCCCATGCCCGCAAGTTCAAGTACTTGGTTCCTCTGGGTAGCTGGCTGTGACCAAGCAGTGACCACAACCTTGCGCCTCAGAAGGAACAAATCTCTCTTAGAAGAAGTACAGCTAGAATGTTCCTTAGAAGTGAGGATGATGAGACTTGATCTCACATAGACTGGACATGTTACAAGAAGGGACCAGTCCCTTGAGAAGGACATCATGCTTGGTAAAGTAGAGGGTCAATGAAAAAGAAGAAGACACTCAATGAGATGTACTGACACAGTGGCTGCAACAATGAGCTCAAAAATAGCAACAATTGTGAGCATGGTGCAGGTGTGGGTAGTGTTTCATTCTGTTGTGTACTGGGGCACTATGAGTAGAAACTGACTCGACAGCACCTAACAACAACCACAACTTTGAATTTAGAATATAACAATAATGCTTTACTGATAAGGAATGTACCTGGCAAATATGCCTATCTAGAACACAGCACAGAACCTCTGAACAGCCAAAACTGATATTACAGCCTACTTCCCAAATTACACATTTACTCATTGGGTCATAACTTACACACAATTGTGAAAGATTTATTTTCATAGCCAACAGATTAGAAGCAGTGGTATAAGAAAATAGAAATTGTTGTAATGCTATTTATACCTGGAATGGGTAGCTCTGGTGGCATAGTCTGTAAGGCATTTGACTGCTAACCAGAAGGCTGGCATTTCAAACCCACCAGCCACTCCTCAGAACGAAAGTTGGGCAATCTACTTCCATAGTGATACTGCCTTGGAAACCCAAGGATGAGTTGCTATGAGTTGGATCTGACTCAACGGCAGTGAGCTTGGTTTTTTTGTTATACTTGGAATGAATTCTAGGTCTACAACTTGTAGCTTTATGGCAATTTACTTTTAATATTTCTAATTTACTCAACTCTAAAATTAGCATTCAATTCCTCTTAAAACCTTGCAGTAGTGTTCCATTGTTCATAGGTTAAAATCCAAGCTCTTTGCTTGGATATATAAAGTTCTTATAGTCATGCCCTACCTTCTCAACCATTTTTCACCTGAGAATTTACTCTTCAGCAATAGTTGAATACTGCTAGTGGGCAAAACTCCAAACATGGAAATCTGTGAGTGTGCCTAAGCCAGCTTTGCTGCTCCAGAAACAGTGAGGGAAAACACACTATTCACATAGTCTATGTAAATGGCATTCTCTGAAGCATGGGGGGCATAATTTTTAGAGATCACAGTAATTGTATACTGCTAGATATCCCTTATTCTCTAAGCCTCAAAACATATCCACAACAATATCCCAACATTCTCCAATGCTTTTTTACCCATAAAACATTCTAACCTCTATTAAGATGCTTTCAATAAACACCAGCTCCACTTCCTTGGACAAGCTGCTTAACTTATGAATTTCATTCAACCTATCTTCTATGGTGTTTTAAAAGAGGATTAACTGAAATGCTATACAAAAAATGTTTAGCACACAGCCTGAAATACAGCAAGTGTTCAGTAAGAAAGATATTATTTTAAAATAAGAGGAACCGTTTACCCAAGTATAAATATTTGCTGCCCAGGGACATTACTATGGGAGAACACTGATTTCCCTAGATAAGACTGACACATTATCTTACAGTGAAAAGTTGTGTATGTTTCTTCTAATTAACATTAAGAAGAAAAATTCAATAGGTAGACTAAAATATAAATTACTTTACATAGCTGAGGTATCTTTAAACCTTATGAGGTATATCTGTTGAACAGTAAGTTAGGAAACTGGATCTCAGTCATAGGGTCTGCCTCTAGATAACTTTAGGCAAATCATTTTACCTTTCTGTTTCTATTTACTGATGATCACTATAAAGGTATAGAATTACATATCTAAAAAGTCCTCTTAAGATAGTGAGAATAGTTGTACAACCTGAAGAATGTAATTAAGGTTACTGAATTGTATATGTAGAAATTGCTGAGATGGCATATATTTTGTTATGTATATTTTCACTAAAATAATTTTTTTAAATCCCTTTTAGCTCTAAAAATTATAGGATATTACAATGAAAAGTAATCCAAAATGTAGAAATTATCAAACAATATCATTAACATCACACAGAAGTAAAATTTTGCTGATAATTAAAAAACAGTTGCAGCAATACATCAAGAAGGAACTGCCTTTGTGGAATCCCAAAGACTATGGTCCTTGGTCACCATTCAGACCTGGAACTGAACTCACTCCTGTAGTTCAGTTTTGGTGGCACAGTACCTGAGGCATAGGAAGATTGGCAGTTCAATCCCACCAGCCACTCCACGGAAGAAAGACTGGGCAATCTACTTCCAAAAAGATTTACCACCTCAGAAACCCAATGAGGGTCGTTATGAGTTGGAATCGATTCTACAGCAGTGAGTTTTTAGACAAGGTGAACAATAACTCTAGGAAGGTACACACTCCTTAAAACAATCAACCATTTGAGATCAAAAGGGTAGCATTTGCCCAAGGCCTAAGTTCAGAAGGTAGGAAGGGTTGGGGGAGAAGGAAGAATGGAAACAAGAAACCCAGGGAGGAAATTGAAGGAGTGATGTAACATTGAGGAGATTGTAATCAATGCAATGAAACAAAATGTCTGTAAATTATTGAGTGGAAAACTGATTTGCTTTGTAAACTGTCACCCAAATCACAATAAAAAGAAAATAATATTAATCATAAATAAAAATTAAACAAACAAGTAACTGATAGAAATTCAAGTGGGATTCAGAAGATGTGGAATGGGGGATATCATTGTTGATATCAGATAGATCTTGGCTAAAAGTAGAGAATATTAGAAAAATGTTTATCTGTGTTTATTGACTATGTGTTTTGGTTACTTCATGCTGCTCTAACAGAAAATACCACAAATGGGATGACTTTATCAAACAGGAGTTTATTCTCTTATAGTTTGGTGCTAGAAGTCTGAGTACAAAGTGCCAGGCTCTAGGGGCTGGGTGAAAGTCCCTCAACCTTGGGGTTCAACTCTGCCTCTAGCTCCTGGTCCACTGAAGCCAAAGGCTTTTCTTCACTCAGGCAGCTGCTGGCTGCTGAGGCTGACAAACCCAAGGTTGACAGGTTAAAAGGCACAGCCCCAATATTACCAAACAACATGGCAGACCACTAATTCAAGTCCAGAAAAAGTCCCAAGGTCAGCAGGGCACGACAGGCTGCTGAACAACAACTTGCCTATATGCAGGGTTCAAGCATGCCAAAAAACTAGAGAGCTTCCTCAAAGCTGCTTCTTATATACTGGAAGCAGACCACATCCCTAAAGCAGCTACTCAGCTGCTCTAGTAGATTCCGCCATGGAATCTATTGCCAGTCTCACCATGGGGAATAACTACATCCAGTTGCCCAGGCACACAACCAGCCCTAGCCATGCTGACACACAACATTAACTACCATACTATGTAAAGGCATTTGACTGTGTGGATCAGAACAAATTATGGATAACATTGAGAAGAAGGGGAATTTCAGAACACTTAATTATGCTCATGAGGAATCTGTATATAGACCAAGAGGCAGTCATTCAAACAGAACAAGAGGATATTACACAGTTGACAATCAGGAAAGGTATGCATCAGGGTTGTATTCTTTCACTATACTTATTCAACCTATATGTTGAAAAAATAATCAAAGAAGCAGGACTATATGAAGAAGAATGTGGTATCAGGATTGGAGGAAGACTCATTAACAACCTGTGATATATGGATGACATATACAACCTTGCTTACTGAAAGTGAAGAAGACTTGAAGCACTTGCTGATGAAGATCAAAGAATATAGCCTTCAGTGTGAATTATACCCCAACATGAAAAAAAAAAAATCCTCACAACTGGACCAATAAGCAACATCATGATAGATGGAGAAAAGATTGAAGTCGTCAAGAATTTCCTTTTACTTGGATCCACAATCAATGCCCATGGAAGCAACAGTGAAGAAATTAAAAGGTATACTGTATTGGGCAAATATGCTGCAAAAGACCTCTTTAAAAGTATTAAAAAGCAAAGATATCATTAACTTGATAAGAAAACAACAAATGAAACTACTATATTTTGTGAAATTCCTTCAATCAGAGTTTAGCACTCTCATGTATATATTTTGGTGGCATAATGCCAAAGGCATTTGACTGCTAACCAGAAGACTGGTGGTTCAAATCCACCAGCCACTCCTTTGAAGGAAAATTGGTCAACCTACTTCCATAGTGATACTGCCTCAGAAACTAAGGAGGGGTCGCTATGAGTTGGATCCAACTCAACAGCTTTGAGTTTTTTTTTTTTTTTTTTTTAATCTATTTTTATGTGTTATCAAAGCAACCATTGATAGTAAGAATATTATAGATCTAATTTAAATTTAATCTAGCTCATCAACATTCTTGGAACATAAAAAACAAAATACTACTACTTACTTGTGAAGGAGAAAATGGTAGTGTTTTCACCGGTGTGTGTTTTAGTGCTGTATTACCACCATCACTGAATAAGCCATCACCAACTTCACTGGCTGGGGAATGACCCCTTCGCATTCTTTTCTTTTTTCTGAGGATGGCTGGTGGAGTGCTAAACTTGACCACATTTGGAGATGTTAGAGGAATAGCCTCGCTGTCTCCACCGTTACAACTGTTTTTTTTCCCTTCAAGTACAAGGCTGACATTAAATTGACATTCCATAGGTCCTTCATTGTGTTGAATGCGCATTAGCTTAACAGGGGTGGACTTGACAGGAGAAGCAGCAGTATCAGAAAGATCAAAACTGGTAACATCACTCCATGCTACAGGATCCTGCAATAAATTAAATCTTTATTTTAATTTTAAGTTTAATTTAACGCTATAACTGGTTAAATTTGAGCTTGAACATAGGCTAATTTCCATAGAGTTAATTATTCCTTTCTTATCAGTAGATATACACTTTCCTTGGAAATCTTTTTTTAAGCACGACTATTGGAAAAGAATGGGAGCTCTGGTGGTGTAGTGCCTAAGGCATTTGACTGTTAACCAGAAGGCTGGCAGTTCAAACCCAACAGCCACTCCCCGGAAGGAGGGTTGGGCAATCTACTTCCATAGTGGTACTACCTCAGAAACCCAAGGAGGGGTCACTATGAGTAGGATGCAACTCGACAGCAGTAAGGTTTTTATTAGAAAAGAATAGATTGTAATTTTCCTACAACTCCAGTTTGCAACATTCCAAATAATATTTCATCTAACTTCATAGCTGAATGTAACTGTCAAATCATTTAAAATGAAAGGAAAAAAATATTTTAAGTTACTATCAAAGAATAAGGGAGCTCTGGTAGCATAGTGGCTAAGACACTTGCCTGCTAACCAGACGGCTGGTGGTTCAAACCC